ATATTGAAAACGTAAAATAATTAACCGACGCGCATTTTCCAGTTATTTGATATTGCTCCGAGGCTTGTGTCCGACGTAACGTAAACACATTTTGCTTAACTTTCGCTTTTGATTTTTTCATACACATTATTATAAACGGTGATGGCGCGGCGTTTATGTAATTACAATCTTGTGTATATTGTAATTATGAAAATATAATTTCGTTTTTTCGCGCACGCCCTCTCTATATACGTAAATAAATTTTCTCTTTTCGGCCGTTCGCGAGAAAATCGACATCGCAAATGCGCATCCGGCGCATCTGGACCGATTTAAATCCGCGCGGTGTTAATATTTGCAGTTATTTTTTTACACAAAAGCAACATCGCGGGCTTTTCGATATTGAATCTCGATTGATACGCGCCGATTGGCAACAAACCACGCGAGCAAAGTCAATCGAAATGCCAAATGTCCGAATTTTTGAAACTGTCAAACTCGGATCGATCAATTGAATGTCCCCGTCGCTACTTTGAAGGAGAGACGCGCGTATATTTCTGTTCTACGCACGTGCGTGGCCCACTCGCGCGACGAGAGTCCGACTTTATTTAATTACCGCGTCCAGCGAGCTTTTACGACCGTTAAAGGAAATTAATTGCCTCAACGACGTCCGCGCGCTCTCTCGAGTTCGACAATGTACATGATGGATCAAGCGATAGGATACGCAGGTGGGAAAAATACGCGTTGACAAAGACAAAAATTTCCTCTTTTTTTTTTTTTTTTTTCCCCACAACGCGGCAATATATACCTCAAATTTTATTAATACACCGACTGGTTTTTGAATATTTTATGAATGTTTGCAAGAAGAGAAGGACAACACGGTTATTGTAACAACACGTACATACAACACACATTCACGTAATAATAACATTTCGAAGTGGATTTCTTTTTACACTCACTTCTCTTTTACCGTTTCACTATTTATAAAAAAAAAAAACAAATTTGTCGCAAATTAAACACGGCAATCAATTTGTGTCGTTTCCTTTGATTTTATTACTTATTTTATTATTGCTGTTATACTTCCTTGTCAGGTATTGTTGTTAATAAATTTTATTTGTATAGGTTTTCCTTCTTGTTTTCCCGTTCAAAAAAAAAAAAAAGAAAAAAAAAAAGTTTTCGCTATCTTTGATCTATCTTCGCCTCGTATTTATCGAGCTTCCGTTCTTCCGAGGATGGGGGTTGCGAGAGATTTCCTTCTCGATCTTCCTCCGCCAAGTTGTCTGCAGCTACGCTTCTCCTCTTCGAGCCACCGTAAATTGTTCTACTTAGCTAAGGCGAGTAGTGACCCTCCTAGCGAAGTTTAATTAGCTTTTAAATCCCTGCCGCTCATTATGCCCTCCTTTTTCTCCTCCAAATTAAAGAGAAGGGCTTTTTCCTCCATCGTCTAACTTCGCGCGAGTAATCGCGCGGAAAGGAAAAAGGAAATACCGCTCTTTCAACAAGAAATACAACCGAGTAAAGAATTTTCGAACGAAACGACATCGAGAACCGATCGCGTTCGATTTAATTGGCCGACGATACTTTTATTTCCAAGTCGACATCGAAAACAAACACACACAGATACTCCGTTCTAAGTATCGCGTTTCCCCTTGTTTCTCTGATAATTAAACAAGAATTCCCAGCTAATAAAAAAAAAAAAAAACAAAACCCCCGATCTTAACTGGACGTAACCCCAATTCGGGATTTCCCGAAATTTGTTCTTGTGTTTAAAAAAACAAGTAAATAAATCCGATTGCGCTTTTTCCCCGTTTCTCTTTTTAGTTTTTGACTTTTGTAGGAAAAGAGACTTTGTTTTACTTATTTTATTTTTTATCCTATTTTTCCGTGTTATTGAAAGCAAAACACTATCGATATATATATATATCTGCGCAGCTCCCGCACAAACATCTGACGATATTTAGCGCGGGCGTAACAAAAATACAATATTGTCGAGTTTTAACACCCGGTCATTTCTGGCGACACGTAGGTGGCGCGCGCGCTCTTAACGCGTCCCACGTCTTTTGATTTATCACAACGCAACAGAGACCGCCCGCAAAGGTAGGCAGCCGTGTCGGAAGGTATACCCTCTATACGACGGCGATGATAAATCCTCGAGCACTCTCGGCTACAGGCGCCGCCGCTAAATCTGCGCGAATCACGCAGCTTGCGGCCCGGTATCGCCGTAATAAATCGCGCTTCGATCGCAAAACCGTCGTGTAGTACACGCGCGCGTGAGAAAGAACCTCCGCGGAAATGGCAGAATTTATCCCGTAAAATTTCCCGAACGCCGATTAAAATTCCGAACAACACCGAACCGAGAAATGAGAAAAACCGCGAGAGAGGATTATCGATCGCGAGGCTCCGAAAAGCCTCTTTGACAAAGCTTGACGATCGATCAAAAAACACGAAGAAACAATCTTTCGTTTCGTGTTGTTCGCGAAATTTGAAAAGATTAAAAAAAGTGCGAGGAAATATTTTCAAAGTTTTTACAACGTCGATCGGTCGATAAACATAACGATATATATACTTGGAAAACGAAACAATTGCGCGAAATCCTTGAAGCTTTGAAAGTGTAACGGTAATGACGCGGCACATAGCCGATACACAGCCAAACGGCGAACAGTCTCTCTTCACCATAGATTTCAACCAATAACCGTTTCGTTGAAGAGAATCTCGCCGTATCTGCGGAAACAGCAGCAGTTTTTTTTTTTTTTTAGCGGGTTCAGCAACGACTCTTCCCTCAATTAAAAAAAAAGTGGAACGCAAATAAACTTTTGCTTTCGCTAAGTACGTACGCCGTGTGTATTATTTGAGGACAAAAATTTTATTTCGCGTGTGTGCGAAATAAAAAAAAGTTTTTTTCCAATAGAAAAGTTTTGGAAACGAATCAATGTCACATTATATGTTGTGATTTTTTTCACTGCTGGAGAATAAGAAGAAAATAACAACGGCGCAAAATGTTGTTTTGCTCGATAATATTTTTTATTTGAGTTCAACCGTAAATGCAACGGAACGCGCACGCGCGGCGACTGTTCGAAAGGGTAGAAGCGTACGCGACGTTTGATGTAATCCGGTGACAAAAAACACGTCGCCACGTTGCGGAACGGGCAAAGATCCTTATGATCCCCCTTCTTGCCATCAACTTGGCCGGCAAAATAAAAAGTATCGCCCTCGGATTCGGCTTATATTCTTGAATAATATATCAAACTTATGAAGCGGCTTTGGAGAGAAACGACGTCGCGGCAAATCCTCCGTATTATAAAGAAGAAAGACGAAATTGCATCTCACAAACCGCGCGCTCTCGCGTATGTACGATATGTTCGGACGATTACGATATTTCGGCGGAATCCGATGATCCATAAACGAGAATTTCATGTAACATGTGTGCGGAGAAGAAGAGAGAGAAAGAGAGAGAGAGAGAGAGAGAAAAAGGACGGAGAGAAGAAAGATATGTCAAAATAAATGTGGAAAGAGACACGGGGCGGTCTCTTCAAGCGCCCGACGACGGCGGAAGATCCAAAAGAAGCGCAAGAAAAGTTCAAGGTAGCTCTTCCGAAGCTTCTAAACTCTAAAGAGCTAAACTTTCAGTTATAAAATCCATCTAGATAAGGGAGCCTAGACAGCATCCACCTCTCATCCTCTTTGTGTCTGTGTGGAAGATGAGGTAAGTTCATTAACGTAAATGAGATGATTCTGATGAGAAGCTACTCCTCCTGGCAACGGGTGTTTTCACCCTCTCTCTCTCTCTCTCTCTCTCTTTCTACCGTGTTCTCGGAGAGATCGCGTCCCCGAGCCTTCTTATCGTAGATTTAACACGTCGTTACGCCTCGTGAATACGCTGTGAATACACGTGCGTAGACGCGAACCAGATAATTCGGATACAAAACTAATTTTCGCGAATCCCTTATGCGCCCGTTAAACTCGCTCGACGACTCCTCGCGAGGTCTCTCCGCGCATTTGAATCCCCCCCCCCGAATTTAACTCGTCAAAAGAAGTTTTTGCGAAGCTACGAGACGGTAATTTAAGTTTGCCAAGCGTTAGATTTACAGTTGATTTTTGAAAAAAAAAAAACGATCAAATACGTCGAGTACGTTGAACGAACAACTGTCAATTTTTTTAATTAAACTCGATCTCAACTTCACGCAACTCTCAGGTATTTCATTTCATTTTTTTTTGTTTTTTTTTTTTCAACTATTTTCGGTAGCTCGGATTTGAATTCACATTAAAAAAAGAAAAAAAAATATATACATATATATATGATCGTTTTAACAAACTCGGAGAATAACTCGGAGCTATGCGAATAATTCCGGGAGGGGGGAGTTAACGTATCTTCTGGCTGAGAGAAATTCAGCAAGAAATTGACAAGCACAATATTCGCGAATGTTAACTTATCGAGTTGCTCGGCGAAGAGAGAGCACCTTCTCAGCTTCACAGAGAGAAGAGACGTTTCGTGCCTTTCGCGATTCGCATTCTCGCGGATCAACGAGCAAACAACCATCCGGAGTACAAGTATCTTTCTTCCCCGATGCTTCTCTCTGTGCTACTACTCTGAGAGACAGCCGTCGGCGGTGCGCATATTCGCAGAAAGAATCCGAACAACGGCTTTGGGTGCCATTGAAAATGAAAGTTTCCGCTTGAAACTCTCTTTCTCTCTCTCTCTCGTGTCCCAGGGTCCCGGCGGCGCTTCGTTCGAAAATTCGTGATTTAATTTTAGAATCGCTTCTCGCGCACCGCCTCAGTCCACTCGCGAGATTCGTACGAGACAAAACGAGCTTTCAGAACGTGCGTTCTCGTCGCAAAAAAAGCAAGAAATTAAAACCGTTCAAAATTGTTTCAAGAATCGAATTTGATCTTTTCGCGCTTTTCCGAACCGTCGCTCTCCTTTTTTGAAAACAACCTGAAGATTGTACCAACCGTCAAGTGTAATTGGTTTTTTTTTTTTTTTTTAAAATACCAAACTTTATATTGATATTATATTATTATTTTAAATATTCGTGTATATACGCGTGTGTCACGCGCGTGTGTGCGGGCGCGAGAGAACAATTTATTTTGTTGTTATTGCTGTGTGAATTTTTCGACGCGGAAAAAAAGGGTAAAGGATCAGTTTTCGATTATTTTCCGTCGGAAAATCTAAAAATAGAAATTGTTGCAATATAGCAATTTTCGCCACAAATTCTGTGTTTTTCACAGAGAATGTTAGAGAGAGAGAGAGAGAGAGAGAGAGAGGGAAAAAACCTCTTTTACTTTTGTGTGCGCGAAAAATCCATGAAATAAATTTTTTTTTTCTTCTAAAAAAAAGATACACCATCTATGGAAGTAGTATGTATAAAACGCGGAACGCGATAACGCGCGCCGGTGGAATTTTCTCACCTCTCGAAAATCTATCATAAACATCGACGAAAATAAAAAGAAGAATTAATGATGGATGCGGTGAATTTTCTACAGGCTTATCTGCGCGAACGGTGTAAAATAGGATTTGCCGCAATAATCACCTACCGGGTCGCCGCCCCCCCTCTCCCCCCGTGCTCAGACAGTAATCCGTCAATAACGATAAAAAAAAAAAAAAACCCCCTCCCGTAAACATTTGTGTGTGTGTCAAAAAAAATATTTTATACATTCCGTAACTGTCGCGGAATATAAAGTAGTGGCTCGGTAATAAAATATATGAAATGCATAAAATAAACGTAAAACTAAATGTTTATACAATTTTTTAAATATAATTTCGCGTCGATCCCCAACGAGAGTTTTGCGATCTATAATATTTATTCTCTCTTTTTATCCCGTTATATTGGGTTTATAATTTTGTTTTTTTTTTTTTTGTGTTCCGTTTTTTTTTTTCGCGACAAAAAACATAACGAAACGTGATCCGGCAAATGTCTTCCTTTTTCCATTGAGGAATATGTACATATAAAAAAGTAGTATTCACGCGCGCGTAGTTGCAACACATCGAGCGCATCAATCGTTATTGCGATTTCTCACCCTGGAAAGTGCTCGTCCACGCGAAAATGTGCAATTCGGCTTTGCAGCGACGAGAGAGATTTCTGGTTGTCATCAACGACGATATAAAAATAACACGGAAGAGCATTTCAAAAAAAAAAGAAACGTCTAACAAAAATATCTGTTAATAATCACGTTACGCGTCTTCCATATATTACGCTCTTCGTTCTCGAGCAGTTTTTTTGTTGCGCGCAATTACCATATGTTGTTCGAAAAAAAAAAAAAAAAACAAACTTCACGCAATTACGAGTCTCAAAGTAAAACCGGACAATACTTACAAGCACCGCGAAGAGAAAACAACAAGACAAGAGAGAGAGAGCAAAAGAGAATTTTTCTTTTGACGGGGGGACCGTGAAAAAAACGCAAAGAATAACAACGTATACAGTAATTTACATAAAAAGTACGTGTACAACTTTATTGCACAAGATGTACAGATATTGCACAATTTTTTTGTGCGCAACACTTTGATATGTAACGCGCAATCAGTTGAATGAAGAGACAGACAAAAGAATCATCCATTTAAAGTTCTTCTCTCTCTCTCTCTCTTTCTCTCTGTGTGTGTGTGCGCGAGATTTGAAAACTTTTAAAAGTTCGGGATCAGTGTCGGATCACGGACTGTATCAGTTTGACAAGTAAATTTGATATGGTTTGAAAGCGCGTTGGTTCAAGTTCTACGAAAATTCGTCCACCGTAAACGTCACAAATATCGGATTTTAGTTGGCCTTCTCTCGCACTTGCATTTCCCCCCCCCTCTTTCACCCGGTTCGGTTTCGGGAGCTTGACGTCATTCATCCGACGTAAATTACGTCAGAATTACGGGAACATTCGCGCTCGCGCGCGCGCGCGCTCGTATATCGCAAAACTGTGTGCGCGAGCGGAACTATTACCGCAATCCTGGAAAATACGCGTACCGTAGTTACCTGCACACTTCGCGATCGCTTGTCACGCGATCGAATTTGCGCGCGCGAACTTGTCTCGCTCGACGTTAACGCGCGAACGGCCGCTTTGCTCAAAAGTTTTTTTTACGTCGTGTCGTTTCGCGCCCGTGCGAATAGATACCGCGCTTTTACCGAGCGGAAACTTTCTCTCTTACGACGTCGTAAAGTATATTTTTTAAAATCTCTAGCGGAAGTTTTTACCCTCAAAATATTGATTACATTATCGCGAAGAATAAATAAATATGTATGTGCGCGTTTCGCGAAAGGTTGACGCAGAAAAATCGTCCAATGTAAATTGATCTTCCGATCAACTTCTACCAACTGTCTGCGTTCGATAGAATTCGAGAAGCGGAGTGTGCGGTTTTTGACGAGAGTAAAACATTGCGAGTTGAAAGGTCCAAACGACGGCGACACCGACGACGCTCTTTTCTCTCTCTCTCTCTCTCTCTCTCTCCGCCGATGTCCTCCAGATACGATATTCTTGGCGGGACAAACAAGGGTGAACGTACGACTGGGAGAGCGCGGACCGCGGCTCGCACGACTTCACGTACTCTCTTCGCCCCAAATAGAACTCTCGCCGCGCTGTGTTGCCTGGTGGTAAACTCTCATCTCGCAACTTTCGATCGAGCGAGCGAGCGAGCTTGCTTTTCTTTGAAGAATTTTTTTTTCCGCGCGCCGCGGCGCAGTTAAAAATGCGCAGCAACTCGAACTCGTGTGACACGTGTCGTAAACAGCGTTTTGTCATCGCACTTTGAACTAATGTTTGTTTAAAACTTTTATTTAAATAAACCAAACTTATTGGCGAGCGATATTTGTTTGAAGTTTGAAACGAGAATTATTATGCGTTGGATGTGTGTGCGAGAAGCGCACGAGAAGCGCACGGTGTTCGATGGACGATGATGAGGTTTCTACAGTGGAAGAGGTAGAGATATGGATCGGACCATAAAAGTGGGTAAATTCGAATAAAATCGAGTGTTTGTCTCTCAAAAATCGATTGAGATCACGTCACGCAAAAATGTGAAAATTCCGCGCCGCACATATATATAGAAAAAGTCAAACACTTGGCGATTCGCGCACGCGCTCCTAAGGAGAGGAAAAAGTTTCTCAACGACGACGGATGCAAAAGTACGACGCTTGCTTCGCATCCTTGGTGTGTTTCTCTCGAACAATTATTTTTTTAACTTCAGTCGCGTGTTGCTCGGAAGAAAAATTCGCTATTTCATTTTCTTCAGAAACTGTGAACTCTGTAGCGCAACTCTTTTAATTGTAATCTTTTTTTTATAATTGTAAAATAAACTTGAGTTTCGAGCGTGTATGAAAACATACGTATATATATATATATATATATATTGACTTAAAACAAGCAAGATTTTAATTATAAACTTTTCGTTCGAGGTGTTAATCTCGTTTCACACTGTGTGCGCGCGCGCGTTTTTATTTTGAAACATCGAGAACTTCTCGATTCGCTGCTGTGAAGTGAAATCAAGAAACACGAAGCAAATGTTCGAGATGATGCGATTGCTGGTGGGTCTGCTGTTGCTGGCCTGCACGCAAATTTTCACGGAGCACCGCGAATTTCACGATTCGCGCAATCAGTACGGCTATCACAATCGGTTCTACAGTCAGCAGGAGAGAATGACGAAAGACGTTCGCGTGAAGGAGGGCCAATTGCGGGGCATGGTGGTTCTGCCGAGGAGCAATTACGATCTGCAGCTAGTTGACGTTTTTTACGGTAAGTTTCGATTGTTCAATTCGATCGTCGAGAAAAAAAAAATTGTCACTTGTACGCGATCGGTGGAGATCGGTAGAGATCGGTGGAGATCGGTAAAGATCGGTAGAGATCGGTGGAGATCGGTGGATATATAATCCAAAAATCTCCCACGTCGAGAGAATGAGAGAGTTTCGATCGACTTTTTTTGTTGTTGTTGAAGTGAGAAATAAACTTAACGGCGAAGTGAAGCGAGAGCGTTTGGCTATTTATATCGAAAATACATCTAATTTTGGATGGAAATACTAAGCCGGTTGGCGCGCAAAGTCAGACATTTCATATGCGACCTGGTACAACGTGGTATCCCCGATAGCGTTCGATACCACGGGGGGAGGAAACTCAGCTTCGGTCAGCGAGCAAAAGTTTCCTGGCAGCTGCATATCCGCGCTTTGAGAGTCCCGATACGTCAAAGGATCCGAAACGAGAAGCGCGCGCGCGCACGCTTGTGTATTTCGGGAACAGATATTACTCCCATCGCGCGCTCAGCATCTCTTTCTCACTCTCTCACTCACTCACTCTCTCATTCTCATTCTCTCTTTCTTCTACGGCTTTCTTCGTCTTCGCTCGACTCGACGCTACCGGGTCCATCGTCGTCGCGCGCGTTGAAGCCTGCATCTGTATGCATCACTTTGTGTACTCAAAGCCGAGTTTACACACTGCTCCCGTTTGGTGATCGTCCAAAGCGAGCGCATTCTTCAAAACGCGCGAGTTCTTGCTCTAAGACGTGTTAACCTTGCAAGAGACAAGGAAGTTAGTAGAAAATCGATAAAGAGAGATTGATTTCGTGAGAGATTCTCGAAGAGAAATTTGTAACTAAAGATTCACAAATGTACGAATCAAAGTTAAAAGAGAGTTAAATTGCGTTCAAGTGAGTTTTCGAATAGAAAATCAATCGAGTTAATTTTATTGCCTCATATATATATATATATTTCCACACGGAATGTGGTAAAAAGAATTTCTTCTAAATAAAGTTTAAAATAAAAATATGACAGTTTAAAATAAAAAAAAGTTTAAATAAGTGAGAAATGAGGTGTGACCTCCGGCTCCTTTTGGCAACTCCAATAAATTGAATCAATTAGCAGGACAATAATATGTGAGCCATGGCGGGATGTTTTGCCGTAGAAAAAATTAAAAAATGTACTTGAGACGTTTCGACTTTATTCTTTTAAGTCCTTATCAATCGTTAATCATAGAGTTGTCAAATTTAGTCAGTCGTAACTCGACATTACATGGAAATTCAAAAACACTTAAACAATTACAGACAATGAAATATTCGAGTCATGTTTATCGCGTATTTTGTAACAGAAAAAAAGTTTAAAATAAAAATATGACAGTTTAAAATAAAAAAAAAATAAAAATAAAAATATGACATTTATTAATTGATTTTATTGCAAATAGAAAAATTATTGTACAAAAGCAATTTTATTCGATGATCGAATTAACGTTAATTGCGTTAGTTCAGTAATGGATCTATATATAAGACGGTGTGTTCTTTTATGCGGCTTAGGAATTCCTTACGCGGAGCCTCCGGTGGGATCCTTCAGGTTTTCACCGCCACGCTCGCCGCAACCGTATCGCGGAGTGCGGCTGGCTCAGGAATTCGCTCCAGTTTGCCCTCAAGTCTTGCCGAATCTTCGTGAGGTCGTGAAACCGGGCAGATACAAGTACCTGGAAAGGCACCTGCCGTACCTGAGGAACCAGAGCGAGGATTGTCTTTACCTCAACGTCTACGCTCCTCATCAGGGTGAGTGGCGCGATTCGCACAAGTGGGAGAAACAAGGAGGCGCGGGGAACTCGTTAATAGTAGTGGCACTGTTACGAAAGTTGCCGACTTTGATACCCAGATTCAATCTATGACACTCTCGAGCGCGCGCGCGCGCGATTGTCACGTGTCTAGAGTTTTCGAAGTTTAATTGAAACATGAGGAACTTCAAGACCACACACACAGGAATTAGACTTTCTCCCCAATTTTAGTTCGCGAAATTTCTATATTGGAAAACACGACGAAAAAACGTTTTTGAAAAAAATATTTCTCGCCCTTAAGCTTGATTTAACTTGGGAAACAATATCAAACTCGCACCTTAATTTGATGCGAAACCTAATCCAGCATCCCGTTCGGGTACAGCTCAACTTTCTTCAACGATCAAAAATTTTCATCAACCGGACCCCCGAGAATGTTTTTGTGTTTTTTTTTCCACATTTTATTTAATTAATTAATTTAACTTCTTGTGTGTAATTCGGTTTCGTAATCTATGTTTCTCTCGCGATTTTAAACTTCGGACTAAAGTGATATTTTTGTTCCGGATGAGTCACATCAAAGAACTTGCGCAAACTACATATAGAAGCGGCGGGGTAAAACTCCGACGAAAGTATTTTACACCGTTATATATATATATATATATATATGTTGTACATATATATATATATATATAATCCGCGAACGCGATGATCCCTATATTCGAAGGCTCGAAGCGGCGCGCGCGCGCGCGACCCGCAAGCGGAATAATCCTCTGACGGAATGATGAAAATATCTGGCATTGAATCGAGAACTTCCTCGGGATTTTTTCCCTCGCTAACGGCGAGCTAAAAACACGGGAATATCCTGCAACTCGTTTGAAAAAAAAAAAAAA